TTTTTGCTATTTCCAGTTAAATGAAGTAGTTTCCATACTTTTGATGACACCTTGTAAGGTTTTGCCGAGATCAAAACAAGTACCAAATTAAGCTGTTGGCTTTTTTTCTTTTTGGGTAGGTGCTGTGACAAAAGATTATGGACCAAAATAGATTTAAACCATTGTAAATCCATCACTCCACTTATGCTTAGTGGCATTATTAGGAGACAGCCTGTAACCCTTGATCTTAGCTGGACAAATATATCTAAAAAGCAGCTGAGTTGGCTTATCAACAGACTCCCAGGTAAGTGATGTTTTGAACGTTTCACCAAGTCTAGCAAACCAATTTATATCTAAATTGCAGAGGAATCTCTGAGGAATGTCTAAAGGGATCCAGGTATCCTAGCCATCTACTTATCTCCTAGGAATGAAGCATCAGCAGGTTAAAATGGGCCAGAAGCTAGTTATGTTGTGACTACTTGACTTTCTAGGTAAAACTAATGTGGGGCAGGTCTTAGTCAGCAGGTAAGGTTGTGGAAAGCGCCCATGCTAGCCACGTTAGCAAGTTGCACGCTCGAGGGGGTGCTGGGGAACTGCTTTCGCCTGCAGTAGCAAGGTTCTAGGCTGTGGGTGAGATGGAGAACTGGGTGGGTGGAGGCTTCCTGCATGTCGCTGCTTACCCTGGACTGCTGGGATCGTCCACCATAGCAGCCTCAGGCTTAACCTATCCTGCATGTGGTAGCTAGGGTCACCGTGTACATCTCTGGATAGGCCAAGCACTCCAATTTCTGTATCTGCAGGTCTCCGAGACCTGCTCTTATCAGGGTGCTCATGGATAGCAGTGTCAGCACTTTGTAGTTCCAGTTGTCCTTTACTCCGAACTCTGGACGTGCAGTGGGCAGAAGGATTGAAAGACGCACAAATGAGAGACCTCTTGTCACCACCCACAGATAACCGGCCAGGTAACGAGGTGGGAGGAGCGCGTGGGAGACCCGTCAGATGCGTTCGGTGGCATGTTCTGCTGCTAGCCCCACTTGGAGGAAACGAGCAGAAATCCCTGCGACAGCACGGGCTGGGTTCTGGGCTTTGATGCGTGCCAGGTGTTCAAAGTAGTGACTTACAACACCTGGCTGGAAGCCACTGGGTGATAAGTTATGTTCTCTGGCTGCTTGAACAGTCATCTTAGCCACTGTGCTGGTTTTCTGTCTGACTTTCTTCTCTTCAGGCTGCAACGGGTGTACTTTAGAGAGTATGGAAACACTTTCTTCCAGTTCAGGGAAGGAGCAGTTCTGTGGGTCATGCCACATTCGCCCGGATATCAGCTCAGGTGAAATTTTGAGCAAATCAGATCTGCTTTCTGGCATGCACTGCACAGCCTACTGCTTACTCTCAACTAGTAATTCTGCTGGGTCCCTGCAGTTACTTCTTTCCCTTTGTTTTGATATCAGGAGGTGGTTTTCTCCACGAGCCTGTGCCAAAAATAGAAAAGTGTTCCTGCTGATATCCCCTCCAAAGCAACAGACAGGCAGAAACGTCTGAAGTTAACTTAGGGCAGCAGCGTTGTGTGTTACAGTGCATTTCATATAGATCTGCAAATGTTTGCAATACTGGGTGGCACTTTTATGAATGGCCTACTACCCCCCCTTTTCCAGGTCAGATCGACAACCGGAGTAAACTACGGAACATAGTTGAACTGCGTTTGGCTGGTCTGGATATTACGGATGCTTCTTTACGACTGATCATACGGCACATGCCTCTGCTTTCCAAACTCAATCTTAGTTACTGTAATCATGTGACAGATCAGTCTATTAACCTGCTGACTGCAGTCGGAACCACCACGCGGGATTCGTTAACAGAAATTAATTTATCAGGTGTGGAGCACAAACACAAGGGAGGGGAGGAGGAGGGGAATTGCCTATCTGTTAAGCTCGTGTGAAATAACGATTAGTGGAAGTGGTTTTACCCAGTTATTCCCTTTCTCTTCGCAGTACAATTTCCCTATCGATAGTCAGTCTCTGCAATTACTGGATGTTTTGCTGGTGTAAAACAAATATCCTCCAGCTGCCCAGCCTTTCCCGGGGCCCTCCACCAGCTGACGTTCCTACTGCGCGTCCCAGTTAAGGGCCATGTGTTGTACCTTGCTCATCCTCCACACGGGATTCTTAAACTCTGCTGCTTCTCGCATCTGGCATGTTTTGCTTTATGTTATCAGTTATGCAACAGGGTCACAGGGATCAGAGAGTTGTCATGAGGCTGGTGGGGGTTTTAACCCAGTGACTTCACTGTGCGCCCAGTGGAAGAGGAGCAAAAAGGACCTATCCCAGGCAGTATAGACTGTCCTTGTGCTGAAAAACACATCAAGACATGCTTTTAAATTTCTCTCTCTGTGATTTCTCGGCAGACTGCAATAAGGTGACTGACCAGTGCCTGTCTTACTTCAAACGTTGTGGAAACATCTGTCAGATCGACTTGAGGTACTGCAAGCAAGTGACAAAAGAAGGCTGTGAGCAGTTCATAGCAGAAATGTCAGTAAGTGTTCAGTTTGGGCAAGTGGAAGAAAAACTTCTGCAAAAACTGAGTTAGTTAAAGGACACATGTAAATACTGGGGCGGGGGGGGGAAGGGACTAAGAACATGTAGGGATTTTATTTTCAATTGGGAACTTGGAATATCGGAAAATATCAGGATTGGATTTTACAACTCTTGTCAAGGAGAGAACGACATTAAACTACCCATGTTAAGAATTTCAACCTGTGCCACTAATTCAGTCTACCTGGGATGTCCTGCACTGGCTCTTATGCAAATTCATAAGGCGACTGTTATTGATGAAAATTGTTCACACCCAGAAGAAGACTGATCTCCAAGAAATACTGTTATTTAAAGTACCACAGCATGTGCTTGGTAGTGTAAATTTGATTTCTGCTTTTCATTTCTTAAAACAAACAAACAAAAAAAGTTGGTGTCATTAAAGTGGACCACGCACTGCATTTCTGCCTTCTTAACACATTTTGTTTTGTTACATCTTACATTATGCAGAACTATTTTTGTACAAAAATTGTTTAAAAATTATTTATGCAATGTTTGAATGCATTATCAGTGTTTCGGTTTTGATTGCCAATTTTTATCTTTACTTATGGTAGGAGAGAACTTAACCTATACTTCGTAGACAGTATCTATCTACAAACGTGCCCAGGTCAGGAAAAGTAGGTTAATACTTTCAACTTAAAGCATGTTTTAATGGAAGTTTATATCCTGCTTTGTATACTTCAGAAGTGACATAAGCATGTTGTGGAAATAAGGTGTAAATTATAGTTGAAGTAAAACACTTTGCCAAGTTTTATCTGTATAGAAATCACCTTTTTCTCAAAATTTTAAAAATTCCAATTTCAGCTTTTGCACATAGGAGGGTTTCACTCTGTAGCATGAGCTCTTGTACTCAATATAAAATTAATTTATACAGTGAGTCCAGCAGTAGAATAAATGGTCAAACGTAGTCTCTCTTTCTTTGAAGTGTGAGTTGAGTTCTCATTTAAGGTTTATAACATGGTTATTTCCTGATTGTAAAATTCTGCATTCATAAGTGCCATTGTTGTAAGGTGTTGTTTTCGTAGACCTTCCTGATGCCGTTTTACCTTTGTTGAATTTGTATAAACAATTGTACAAAAAGAGATACAGCCTACGAGGGTTTCTGTTCCAGTTCCGGTTTGCTGGGGGGGGTCATGCTTCGTCTTCAGCTGTTAGCTGAGGAGTGGCTTTGTTTCAGTAGAGCTCCCATGCTAACCACATGTATTTAATGCTGGCCTGCAACAGCAGCAGGTGCGGTGAGGGACCTGTGTTCTTTTACTGCTGTCAAGTTACACATGGGGAAAATGTGCACAGCACCTACAGCAGGAGCAGCTGTAGGCAAGCTATCGATGCTTATTGTTCTACTCCAGGTGTGTATGTGAGAAAGAAATGGTAAATAGTTTAATTGTAACCACTTGTGGGTGTAGTAGCTGGATCTACCCTATTCTTACAGGATCTGTTATTTAAAACACATGTGCACACTCACTCTGAAGTTGTGTAAGGTTAAGCAGTGTTACTGAAGCTGCCAAACTACCTCCTGCCACTTAGGAGTTACGATAGTTAAAGGGGTTATAGAAGAAAAAAAAGCTCTCAACATTACTGCCTTTGCTCCTGTTGAGATGCCAGCTTTCCTCTGCCACAAGCATGTGACCCATATCTTCTCGCTGATGAGCTTTTAGGCACTAGCTTATGAGGTGAATGTAGTGAGCCTGATTTGGTATATAGTCAATATATACACTTCCAGCTGAGAAATGGGTCTTGTCTACTATGCTCATACTTTTCTTTCGTATGTAGAGCGTGAGCCAAAGGCGTGAGCTTATTTAAACTAAGGGAGAGTTACAGCAGTGACTGCTAGTTGGGAAAAAAGCTCATTGGCAGATAACATTTTGATGTGTGCAACATAATACAGCAATTTCTTGGTTCTGAGCTCTGAGAAGGTAGTTGTTCCTAGCTGTGATGAGAAAGGAGAGATTAACAGGAGGAGCCTCTATCATTCAGCAAGTAGCAGTTCCACAGCTGTCAATGCACCCTTTAGCCAATGCCTCAAAGTTGACATAGACCACTACATTTATCCTGCTGCCCAAAATGTGTAGACATCAATACATGTGTACAACAAAATGTGTACAACATCAATACACTTCAAGACGACTGTTAAAGCCTAAGGTTGAGTTGATGAATCAGTAGTACTCAGGGCTGGATAAGAAAAGACACAGAGGCTGGAAAAGCCCATCACAAATCTTTATTAAACTTGTGTGGCTGATAATCCAAATGGGAATAATGTATAGGGTATGGTTTTCTTCACTGGCTTACCACCCACTGAACAGAGGCTCCAGGAATTAAGTACTTAGAAGTAACATTTTTAAAAAATAAAGCCATTGTGAGATTTGCTCCCTTCTGAAAAATAACCAGCAGTATCTTTACAGAAATGCAGATTTTATTTTGAGGAGCTACTATCTCTTTTTTTTTTTTTTAAGCCTAGGAGCCAGCTTAATTTTCCACACAAAGGAAAAGAGCAGGAAGGACATGTAGTAGAGCAGAGGTAAGCATTCTCAGGTACTAGAGACTGTGCAACATTTCTCTTCCCTCTTTCCATTACTTTGCCAATAAACTGCATTTCTTTCAGTTCTAGCTAAAGTAGCTGCACTTGCCTTGGTTACTTAGCTACCCCTGGAACTCTTTCAAGCAGAAGCTTCCTTTCTGCAACTACCCTCACCAGCTGCTAAGCAGGGACCCACGCTGCAGCAGGGGGTCTCTGCCCCATCCTACTCCAGGGGCAGAGACCAGGCAGCTCCTGGCCTGCTATGCACAGCCAGAGCCAAGTGCCTACCGTAGGGCACAATACCCAGCCTCTGGAAAGAAACTGCATCAAGACACCCCCCCCACACACACACACACACTACACCTAACAGCTTGGTAAAGAGGGAGAACCTTTCACAGACTTGAGATGTTTGCTTCAAGAGGATACGTGCCCTACTGCTGGTAAGAAATCCAGCTAGAAACTGGACCAACACAGGATTACACACAGGTCACTCCGCAACTTAACTAGAAGCTTGTTTAATAGTGGCCCAGCCTTGGTTAAAACAAATTTATTTCAACAAATACCATGTTTCTTCTCCCTTATCCTTAATTAAAAAACCCTACTTGTTTAAGGTTAGTAATACCATACATTCCAAACATTAGCAGCAAGTGGTTTCATGACCCTGATTAGTATTCACAGCAACATCAGGCTGTCAGCACATGAAGTACAATCATCACATGTAATCTTAATACAGTTATAATAGGCATGAATGGATTAAGGACCACAAGCATGTGTTTTAATATACCCATTCAAAAAAAAAAACACTTAAAAAAAAAAGTAAGTGGTATTCATACACCACATGATAGAGCCCTGTAAAATGACTATGCTTGTTGCACATTTACAAAGAATGGCCAAGACAATACACAGGTAATGACAGACATTTTGAATGAAGCAATCAGCAAAAAATAGATTGCCTAAGAACTTCTGTGCAGGTACAGTTAATGGCAGTGCTTTCTACAATCTTATTTTATAGGCTGTTAACACTGTTGCAGGAACAGTGTCAGAACAGTTACATTCTATATTTAGTTACATAAAAGCTGAATAGTCAACTGATAAATTCATTGCTTCTAATGCACTAGACAGTGTAATAGTCTAACAATATGGTCAAGTAAAGGTGTTTTCCTGACCACTTCTTGAACACTTAATGCAATAATTAAGGGTGATATTCTTCAGAAGAGAGCAAGAAGTGATTCTAGGTCTGCTGTAAACAGTTTGACTTGAACAGTTTGTGGTTTTATAAGGTAAGTAAGTCAGACAGCTCTATTACTGTACACACAGGCATCATACTGCCCCACTGTCAGATTAGGTACACTGTAGAAAAGCGCTTCACAAACTTCGCTATCCTAATGTTCAAAATATTTATTATGGTTTAGTCTGAGAACTAAAATCTGCCATGTGTCCCAAGCTTCAGTACTCTTGCTCACAGAAATCCTCGAAGTCAAAGGGCGACTATAAAAATCAATTTTTGGTCTTCATTTAAGATTTAAATACATGCACTGCTCGTACAACATACTGTCGACAGATGGGGCACTCGCTCATTCTTTTGCCACACTTTGTGCAAGTGACCATGTGACCACATTCCAGCAGGACGCAGTCAATCACCGCGTCCATGCAGATCCGACACAGGTTATCATCGTTGTCATTCAGCTGCATCTTCTCTCCCTCTGCAAAGCAACACGTCATACGTTCGGGCTGTACAAACCCAGTTAACTTCTAGCCCAGGCATCCATTAAACTATTGAGACAGCCTAATTTAGCATAAATTTGTTCTGCAGAATGTGTACAATAGTTCTTCTAGCCCATAGAAGCTTGGTTGAGAATTACTCCATATTCTTAAAAAACAAACAAAAAAATACCACTAAAACCCGCTATGCTCACATCCAATATTTGGCTTCATTCTTTTTTACTCAGGATTAGAAACGGTCTCCAAATTCAGTAACACTGAATAATAACGCTAGATTAAAATTCAGAGCATGTTGTTTTTCCATCTCTTAGCTTACTTCATTTGAAAGAATACGTTCATCAGAAGATTAAATGTGATAGTACAGAATAAGGCAGACTCAGAAGTGGAAGCCTTAATCAAGTAAGCTGTAAAGATGACAGAAGTGAAGAAAACCTGTCAAGTGCCATTGAAAATAGACAGTGTGCCCCTCTAATAGCCATACATGCTCTGTAAAAACATTGGGTGGGGAACCTAAGTTGGATTTCAGAGAGCTTCTAGATTTTTAGTTGACAGGACTGAGTCTCACTTAAGCCATGTTTTGACACTGAGCAGCAGTCCTACTCAAGACAGTGTGTGTCCATCATCTTCCAAACACTTCTCCACACTGGTTTCCCACCCACTTAGCTGATTATTTCACACCTGATTATCACAGCTGCAATATTTGTGCTGTCATAATCTGGCTGTAAAGTAGCCCAAGGCAAGCAAGTTTTCCAGTCTTCACAGTTCCCTAATCTTTACCACCTGACTGCACAACAGCAGCAACAACCGGATGCAGGAATACACAGCCAGGTAGGAATTTCTTGAGCTTGCAATGACATCAAAAAAGATGTTCCTCAAATTATACTTGGTTAACAGGAATCAGTCTGCAGGTTAAAGACTGAAATTCAGTGTAACATAGGTTAGAAGATGACTAGTCATTCAGCTGCAGCCACAGAACCACCTTATCAGGGAAACATGGATTTATACCAAACCACCTGATCTTGGATTTCTGCCACTGTAGCTTTTAATTCTGTACTACAGTAGGATACTTGAACTGCCTTGGCCTGGAGAAAGCTACTGCAGACACTCCCCCACTAATACTTGTGAAACCTAGTAAAGGACATGGAGGTGCCAAGCCTTCGTCTGAGGAACTGGTTTTCAGTTCTGCTATTTACCTTTGTTATGAAAGCTGAGGTGCCTGAGCTTTGGAAAAAAAAAAAAAACCCGGAAAGCAACACAATCTTTGAAAGCCTTAATTCCTAACTATTACTTTGTTCAACTATTCTAGATGCAGCTGAAACTGGATAAACGCCTTCCAGTTATTCCAGGGAAACACTGAAACTAAGGTGCCAAGCCCTTCTGTTGGCAGAACTAGCCAGTGGAGACCAGAGAAGTAGTTTTAAGAAAGTGAGAATTAAATATAAACTTACGCGTCTTGTGGTTTTCCTCGCTCTCTCTGTATAGTCTGCTCACTTTTTCCACGAGTTCCCATTTTTCACAGCATCCTGAATAGTTGACAAAATTACATGCAAGTATTTCCTTCAGCTGCCGAACACTCAACCCTTCAACGTCTTCCAGACTTGAAATATCAGACAAAGATGCCCTCACTCGCTTTCTGGACAATCCAGGGGTCTGAAACACATCAGTTGTATGTTTTTAACTGTTTGTCCTAGTAATTTCAGAGCACCAGATTTGTTCTGCTTTGTCACAGATTACATGAAGCTAGAACTTGGCCAAAGTTTTATTCTCTTTAAAGCAACTATTTACAAATGTGTTATTAAAAATGCCAAATTCTGAAACAACTAGAGTACTTTATGGTGTCATACACCAAAAATGTATTCTTTGGATAGTTCTCTCACCTGCTCTTCTGCGCTTTCTTCTTCCTCTTCATTATTTACCAAAGATGTTTCAGTTTGTCCCTGTGTACAGAATGAAACTAATCAAAATAAAAATATATGTATATATTCATTCTAAAATATTTTCCTTACTGTACCAAACGGATAACAATAACATTTTAAAGCTTCAACTGCTACTAATCGTTATGGATTTAACTCATTTCTATATCTAAGCTGCTAATAATCTTCCATTTTCAGGTCAGAGATAGGAGAAATCCTTTTCTCTACCACCCCAACTGGTGTTCTGGTTAGTTTCAGAGCAACGCATACCTACAAAAAAAAAAAAAAAAAAAAAAAAAAAAGCTAAGCTATATCATAAAACACATTTGAATTATTGTACCCGTAAAGGTGTTCCATTTCCTGTGCTTCCTCTTCTGTTTGCAAGTTCTCCTTGAGAAGACACTGATACAGACATAGAAAATGGATGAGTAAAAAAAGTGGAAGTCTGTGACCGTGAAGAATGCAAGCTACCAGCGTCCGTATCCTCCTCAGAACCTAATCCATGATGGCACAGCACAAGATCCACCAAGTCTTCTTTCTCCCTACAAGTATCTGTTGGAATGTTTCTGAGAATCAGATACTGACGCAAATCCTTTACTTTCAATCTCATTAACTGAGGTCGCTGAAACGCTGTTTCTTGTAATAAGTGACAAGTAGAGCATCTTCTGAGATTTTCTTGTAAGACTGAACAAACGGAGCAAAAATCCTTCTTGCAGTCACAACACACATGCTAAGCAGAAAGACAAAATAACCAGTTAGCGGTATGTCAGATATTTACTGGAGTAGAAAACAAATCTATAGGCTGCTCTTTCCTTCTCCAGACCACATCATTTATTATTGATTTTAGGCTTTCAATCAATTCCTAAAAATGATGTAATGCCAAAATTGTTAAGTATATAAAACTGCCCTGTCAAATAGTTTTTCAGATGTTCAAGGTTTATGTAGCTTTTGTAGCAATATTGAAAGCTGATTTGAGGCCTATGAACAAAGTGCCTAAATTGTAGTTTACACAGTCATTACACAGTTTTATGGCAGGTTAAGATAGTTTTGAATAAACTAAGTGTCACTGCTTTTTTCACACATGTAAAACAGTATAATCCCCAAACTTAGGAGAATATACTTTCTCAGTCGATTTAGAAAACTGTAAGCAAGTCTTAAATGTGAAGATCCAGGGAGCAGGTAAGTACTCCTTAAGTGCCCAGGTGTCATTTCAGAAGAGAGGGTTGTTCAAAAGATTGACTACAATACACAGAAGCTAGAATAGGCAAGTTTTCCAGCAATTTAAAATGATCTTCTCATCCACTGTGAACAAACCCAAACTCCTCTTTGCCCAAGTTCTTCAGAATTTTAGTAAATTAATATTCGCTTCAGAACGCGTCCCTACACAACCATTACTTTCACAATGTGCTTGCCGTGCAAATAACAGAACGCTGCGGTAAAAGGAAAGGGAAAACTGAACGCAGGAACGGAAGAAAGAGGCTTCAGGTTTATCCAAACGCGCCACAGAGAACCAGGTCACTAAGTGGACCATGATGCTGGACAATCATGATGCACAGAAATAATATTAGCACTTTGAATTTTATTCATCTAGAAGCCTCATGAACTCACCAACCTGGCTCCAAATGAAGCAAGAGGCCATTAGAGCATAACAGCATTTCAAAGAACTAAATCTGGTTAGGAAACAAACAGAACTATGCTAGTACTTAACAGAAAGAAGCTGTAATTAATACTAAGTTGTGAGCTTTTAGCTTTTCCATCGTCCATGTTGTTCATTCCAATAGCCAACAACTACATTTGCTATCATCTTCAAAAACACAGCAAGATTTATTTTAACATTCTAGATTCTAAAATTAAAACTTGTATCTTACAAATTAGAATCAACTCATTTGTAGGTCAGATCAGATCTAACGTGTCACTGATTAACGAGCATGGGATGCATCAGACCTCTTAACTTCTAATCCTGTCTGACATTAATTTCCTGCGACCTCGGAAGAAGGCACTTACTCTCTCCTTGGCTACCTGCCTTGGTTTTCCCCATCCGAGGAAAAATACATAATCATCTCCCAATACGCTTTCAGATTAGTTCATATTAGTGAAAATATTACATAACAGGAAGTATACTCACTTTTTTCCTAAAAACCGAAAAGGAAAGTCCACAGGCTTTGCAAACTATGTTAGCTCCTCCCGCAGCTGGAGATGGATATGCCGAGAAGTCTGTATTTGGTGCAAATCTGAATGGGCCAGTACCTCCCCCAAAGCCAGCCTGTTGACCACGAACAGCTCCAGTACCCATGACTTCATTCAGCAACCCACAGCAGGAAGCCCACATGGAAGTAGCTCCTGCCTGAAAACATTCAGAAGGCAAGAGAGGAAGTTAGTATCTTAAAATCTGTATCACATGAGACTTGCTATTAAAGAGCTGCTCCACTCCATCTGTCATCATCCCAAAAGCACGTTGCGTGAATTCCCCGAGCATGAGGAATTCAATACATGAATGTCTATAACAAGCCCAGTAATCTCCACTTCTCAACTGCAAACCAAAGTAGGTAAGATTTGCTTCTAAGAAGCAAAAGCAGGCACAAGGAGTGTGCTTTCATAACTCCTTTTCTAGCAGAGTTCTGCACAAAACCAAAAGGGTAAGGAATTTGAGGAGATAATGCAATAGCAAAGCATATTAAAGAAGGAAGAGAGTAACAGCCAATCATAGGTAACCCAAAAAATTAACTAGCGAGGGACAGTCTGAAAGGAGAGAGACACAGCGATACACCAATTTATCATAATTAGAGCAGACCTGCCACCAGCAGAATCTTCTCCAGCACTAACTCAATTCCTATAGGATTGGCAGTGAAACTAGACCAGTGTTTCCAGTACAGTTTGTTACCTTGTGTTTGTTTACCCTGAAGAAAAGTTTCTAGCTCTTCCAACTTCAAGGCAACAAACTGAACTGTACTTGAAACAATGGAGAAACTAGACCAAGAATTACGTGTCTTTCAAGCCCTCCCTGGACCTGCTATTTTACTCTCTTACAAAAAGTTTAACAAAAGGAAAATAACTCCAAGTAAACTTATTCCATATTGACTGGATTTCAGTTTTGATTCATACAGTTGAATCATAAAATGAACTACAAAAAAGTCTAAATAACATATATAAATATTACATTACTACTTTTAATCCTTGAAAGTACGTTGTACTGGATTTTCTACCATGAAGTGCATATTCTACTTAAAGCTAGAATTTGGACTACAAGCTGTTCAGGTCATGTGTTTAATCACTGTCAGGTGGCTCATTGAAACCTACTGACCAAAAAAAAAAAAACAAACAGAAGTGCATCAGGTTCTTGTGGAAGGAAGTTGAGTGATACAACTTCCTTTAAACACGATTTCTCCTCATACTTTCTTGTTTGTTTGTTTTATAACTATTCTAGTTAAGGCTGTTCTGTTTTTTGTTCCAGAATAGTATCTTTTTACAAAGCATAGAGACAGTAAACAATTGTGTCTGAGACTTACGGCTCCTGCTGTGAAACCTTAACAATACAGAATATGCAATTCATCTCAGTAAGGATGGCATTTTAATTCCTGTATTAACTAGACTGATTTCTATACTAAATTGCATATTTTCCCCAAACTGAACATCATTTATGCTGGTGTTATGTTGTTATGTTTGTGGGAACTTAAGACAGAGCCATTAGGGATACTCCAGAAATTCTTCCAAGCCATTGAGCACAAAAGGTAAGAAAAGAGTCCTTACTCTAGGTTAGGAAGAAGCTACGAGAAACAATGCCATAGGGCTACACGTATTTACAAAAACGTGTTCAAATATGTTCCTTAAGAAGCATTTCTCCGACCTATCCAAACGTGATATTTCATTTTCACTGCCCTCAGCTGACATCAGAAGTGTTTGCAATACCTGTGGAATACTGAACACTGACAGTCATTTTATTTCTGAGCTGTACTACACACAACATTGCAGGCACTAATAAAATCACACACATAAAACTAGATTAGTGAACGTAAATTGTTGCATAGGTATTTCAAGAGCAAGATTCATCCCAGACGTAATAAGAAACCTTCATGGAGCAGGCACCCACATTTAGGAAATCTTCCTAAGCTTCCTCTGAACAAGCAACGGCCCTTCCCTGACCCCTAACCGAGGCACAAGCATCCCCGTCACTTCCTAAGCTTTCTCTGAACAGAGCGCAAGAGGGATGAACAACCAACGGCCCTTCCCTGACCCCTAACCGAGACACAAGTATCCCTGTCACGTGGCAGAGCTCACAGATACACATCAGACAGACTCCAGATGAGCTGTGTAATCAGACTTTCATGCCAATAACAAGCTATCATTAAACTAAGACTTATTTTCTACTTTTCAGCACCAAAGAATTCAAATTTTTCCCATACAAAACAAATTATCCCTAGTTATCCTAGTTTCTTAGGCAAGAGCGAAGTTCAGAAATACAACCTAAAAACTAAACACCTAGCCCAAGAGCACTCCAAGTTTTAAGACTTGGAGTTTTGACAAGTATTTTTTCCTCATCTTAAAGCAAAGTTGTCCGTTGCAGAAACATTACTCTAATTCTTCACATATTCTTAAAAACTTACGAGCTGGCTTTTATATTTAAAAGACTTAAAAAGTGGTATGCAAATAAGTATAGAAAAATAAAACGATTAGCCAAAAGCATCTGTCAGTAGCTTCAGAAGCCAGCTTGTTTCACTACATAACTTACAGTCTTTGCAGGGGGTCACAGCAGGAGGAAGACGCACAGTGACTGAAAGGACAAAACCTAGTTGCTATTGCTATCGTTACCTGATAGCTTAGCACCTGGGTTTTAGGCTTACTTTATTC